AAATACTTCCTTCAAAATTAGAATAGAGCAATTGGAAACTAGTGACTTTATGAGAAATCAAGACACTGTAAAACAAATCCAAAAGAATGAAAAATTAGAAAACAATGTGAAATATCTCATTGGAAAAACAACTGACCTGGAAAATAGATCCAGGAGAGAGAACTTAAAAATTATTGGACTATCTGAAAGCCATGATTAAAAAAAAAAGCCTAGACATCTTCTTTCAAGACATTATCCAGGAAAACTGCCCTGATATTTTAGAACCAGAAGGCAAAATAGAAATTGAAAGAATCCACCAATCTCCTCCTGAAAGAGATCCCCAAAGGAAAACTCCTAGGAATATTGTAGCCAAATTCCAGAGTTCCCAGGTCAAGGAGAAAATATTGCAGGCAGCCAGAAAGAAACAATGCAAGTATTGTGGAAACACAATCAGGATAACACAAGATTTAGCTGCTTCTACATTAAGGGAACGAAGGGCATGGAATTTAATATTCCGGAGTGCAAAGGAGATAGGATTACAACCAAGAATCACCTGCCCAGCAAAACTGAGTATAATTTGTCAGGGGAAAAAAAATGGTCATTCAGTGAAATAGAGGACTTTCAAGCATTCTTGATGAAAAGACCAGGGTTGAATAGAAAATTTGATTTTCAAATACAAGACTTGAGTGGAACATGAGGAGGTAAACAGGAAAGAGAAAATCATAAGAGATTTATTAAGGTTGAACTGTTTACATTCCTGCATGGAAAGATGATATTTGTAACTCATGAGACCTTTGTCAGTATTAGGGTAGTTGGAGGGGAAAAATTATATGTATGTATATATAGATATAGATAGATAGAAGGCACAGGGTGAATTGAAAATGAAGGGGTCATATCTGTAGAATAAAATTAAGGGGTGAGAGAGGAATATACCAGGAGAAGGAAAAAGGGAGAGGTACAACAGGGTAAATTATGCCACAAAAAAAGAAAAAAACAGAAAAGAAATTGCTCTTACAGTGGAGAGGAAACAGGGGAAGGTGAGAGGGAATGAGTGAATCTTATTCTCATAGGATTTGACTTAAGGAGGGAATAACATATGCACTCAATTGGGTGTGGAAATCTGTCTTACCCTACAGGAAAATGGGGGGGGACAAGAGAGTAGGGGAATGATAGAGAGGAGGGCAGATTGGGAAAGGGAGTAATCAGAAGCAAATACTTCTGAGGAGGGACAGGGTCAAAAGAAAGAATAGAATAAATGGGAGGGGCGGGATAGTATTAAGGGAAATAGAGTTAGTTTTTCACAGCATGTCTACTATGGAAGTGTTTTGCATAACTGCACATATATAACCTATATTTAGTTGCTTGCCTTATCAATGAGGGTAGGTAGGCAGGGAGGAAGGGAGACAATTTTGAACCCAAAGTTTTAAAAACACATGTTTAAAAAAAATGTTTTCACATGCAACTGGGAAATAAGAAATACAGGAAATGAGGTACAGAAATCCATCCTGCCCTACAGGAAAATTGAAGGAGAAGGGGATAAGAGAAGGGGGGGGAGAGACAGACGGGAAAGCAGACTGGGGGAAGGGGTATTTAGAATGCATGCCATCTTGGGGTGGGGGGAGGGGTGAGATGGGGTGAAAATTTGGAACTCAAAATCTTGTGGAAGTAAATGTTGAAGACAAAAAAGTAAAAATTACCATGAAAAAAAAATTAGAATGGAGAAATTGGAAGCTAGTGGCTATATGAGAAATCAAGGCACTGTAAAACTAATCCAAAAGAATGAAAAAATAGAAGAGAATGTGAAATATCTCATTGGAAAAAACAACTGACCTGGAAAATAGATCCAAGAGAGAGAACTTAAAAATTATTGGACTATCTGAAAGCCATGGTAAAAAAAAAGAGCCTCGACATCGTCTTTCAAGAAATTATCAAGGAAAACTGCCCTGACATTTTAGAACCAGAGAGCAAAATAGAAATTGATCCCCAAAAGAAAACTCCTAGGAATATGTAGCCAAATTCCAGAATTCCCAGGTCAAGGAGAAAATATTGCAGGCAGCCAGAAAGAAACAATTCAAGTATTATGGAAACAGAATCAGGATAACACAAGGTTTAGCAGCTTCTACATTAAGGGTCTGGAGGTCATGGAGTATGATATTCTGGAGGGCAAAGAAGATAAGATTACAACCAAGAATCACCTACCCAGCAAAACTGAGTATAATCCTTCAGGGTAAAAATGGTCATTCAATGAAATAGGGGATTCAAGCATTCCTGAGGAAAAGACCAGAGCTGAATAGAAAATTTGACTTTCAAATACAAGACTCAAGTGAAACATGGAAGAGATAAACAGGAAAAAGAAATCATAAGAGACTTATTAAGGTTGAACTGTTTACATTCCTGCATGGAAAGATGATATTTGTAACTCATGAGTCCTTTGTTAGTATTAGGGTAGTGGGAGGGAAAAAATCATATGTATGTATATATAGATATAGATAGATAGAAGGCACAGGGTGAATTGAAAATGAAGGGGTCATATCTGTAGAATAAAATTAAGGGGTGAGAGAGGAATATACCAGGAGAAGGAGAAAGGGAGAGGTACAACAGGGTAAATTATGCCACAAAAAAAGAAAAAAACAGAAAAGAAATTGCTCTTACAGTGGAGAGGAAACAGGGGAAGGTGAGAGGGAATGAGTGAATCTTATTCTCATAGGATTTGACTTAAGGAGGGAATAACATATGCACTCAATTGGGTGTGGAAATCTGTCTTACCCTACAGGAAAATGGGGGGGGGACAAGAGAGTAGGGGAATGATAGAGAGGAGGGAAGATTGGGAAAGGGAGTAATCAGAAGCAAATACTTCTGAGGAGGGACAGGGTCAAAAGAAAGAATAGAATAAATGGGTGGGTGGGATAGTATTAAGGGAAATAGAGTTAGTTTTTCACAGCATGTCTACTATGGAAGTGTTTTGCATAACTGCACATATATAACCTATATTTAGTTGCTTGCCTTATCAATGAGGGTGGGTGGGGAGGGAGGAAGGAGAAAATTTGGAACCCAAAATTTTAAAAACACATGTTTAAAAAAAGTGTTTTCACATGCGACTGGGAAATAAGAAATACAGGAAATGAGGTACAGAAATCCATTCTGCCCTACAGGAAAATAGAAGGGGAAGGGAATAAGGGGGGGGAGAGATAGAAGGGAAGGCAGACTAGGGGAAGGGGTATTCAGAATGCATGCAATCTTGGGGTGGGGGGAGGGGCGAGATGGGGTGAAAATTTGGAACTCAAAATCTTGTGCAAGTAAATGTTGAAAACAAAAAAAAAATAAAAATTACCATAAAAAAAGGAAATTGCTAACCAATAAGGTGACACTTTCATATTTCACTGCACAAGGGGAAGTTGAATTTATCTCTCTTGAATGATGATCAGGAGAAATGAATAAGTGGTAGATAGCTTTATGATTTATCAAATAAAAGTGTATCTAATGAGTAAACTTCAGTTATAATACAAATCTAATTTTATGTATATCTTTAAAACTTTCTCTAAAGAGCTATTCAAAAAATTTTTCTTGTGATTCAATGGAAAGTACATTTTCCCACAAAATTCCCCACTGCTTTTACTATTTCTACATGTCATTGAAAAACTAATATAAAAGTGGTGGATTACCTAATTCTCAAATCTGTTCTCTTCTCGTGCAAACACATATATCCTATTAATTTGAAAGGAGCTTTTGTCCATCCATATTCCCTTGTCTGGTCTCCTTGTGACCAAGGACATTCATTGTGAGGTAGTTCTCTGGGGTGGAAATGAAGTAGGTGGAGCCTGAAAGTGTATTTTTTTCTGCATAAACATAACTAGCACATAGAACATAGCTTGAAAGCCAGAAGAGGTGTCAGAAGTCATGTCATCCAATCTTTTCATTTTATTATTGAGGAAACTAAGGCCCAAGGAGGTTCAGTGACTTGACCCTATGCTGCACTCCAGGATCAACCTAACAAATCCTTACAGACATGCCCTAAGCAACTAAATGAACTGGTGCAGGTATGCCAGACATCTAAAAGATAGCCTAGTGTCATTGAGGTAGCTCTCACTGTATGACATTAAAAGGATGAGGTAGGCCCTCATATACAATACTAACATTAGCTGACCAAAGTTCTACAGCATTCAATCTAATTCAATTAAATAAATATTTATAAATATATAATCTAGGCAAATATCTACTGGACCCTCAGGATACTCTATAAATATAGATGGTCCCTGCCCTCAAGAAACTCATGATCTGACAGAAAAAAAAAAAACTACATTGGTAGACAGGTACATATCAGGTGTCTAGAAATGTAATGTTGAGATTCTAATTTATATCTCCTGATAGTCTTAAATTTTGCTAACCAAAAAGCTACCCACTTTTTTTTTTGTTCAAGTAATGAAGTTTCCTAGATGATACTCATAAATGATCTAAGACTCTGACAGCTTAAAATGTGTTGCTGTCTCCACAGCTTCTAAAGTGTTATCAAACTTATTTTAGATTATCCTGTTCTTTTATGACATTATCAGGCATCATCATGAAAATGGGATAAACTTTTTGTAAAGAGCATTGACAATGCAAAATATCTGTCAGAGCGAACATTCTTTATGTCTATAATAATTATTTAGTGGTTGAGCTCTCCTTTTTTTTCCCCTACTTATTCTATCTTTAATTAAAATTTCAGCATAATTATTCTGAGATCATGTTGAGGGGAGGTATGAACACCATTAAGTTTCCTGTTGTAGAGGGGTGAATATTAGGTATTTTATAACAATTACAATGATTCTTTTTTTCAGAGACCTTTTCAAATGAAAACAGATAACTATTACCTTTAATTCAGGTTACTACATTTTCAGTGCAATGGGGCACTGGTTTTGATATGAAAACCTGCTAACAAAATTGTTGATTTGATATGTCAACTTCTCTGATTGGAGCTGTCAAAGTCTAATGATGTTGTCTTTTTTCTCTCTCTCTCTCTCTCTTTTTTAATTTTTTTGCAGTGGAACACCCTGACAAAATGGCTAATGACCAAGGTACAGTGGCCTCAATCTGTCACTTTCCCCTATTTGAATCAATGCTATATGTTTGAAATGATGTCAGATGTCACTTTGCATTCCACTTTTCACCTGGGCTATACACCTGATGAGGCAGACACTGGAGTGATAATTAATTTTGTTAATGAAGTTCTGCTCGGTTGAGGCTGCTGCTTTGATGGGGAAGATGTAAATTTTCTTGAGAGGAAATTGTTTTGTCTCTTTTCTGAAGGACCAATTAAAATGTCAAGCTTCTTTGTATGAAATAAATTTTTAGTCTCTGTCTGCACTTCTGAATAATTCACATTAAGTATAATTAAGCTCAGCATAATTTTCAAGCTGCTCTTGTACCCTTTCCTGAGCTATAGATTAAAGTTCTGTAGCCATGGCAGAAAACCATAAATCATTTTCCCTTATCCCCAATCAATGCCCTTTATTAAAAGAAAGCAAAGTGAAGTCAACCTTTTACCGGCTTTGGCATTACTAATTCTGACAGTAAGTTTTCCCATTCCTTGAATTGAAAGCCTCCTCTACTCTAAACACTTTATCATCTTTATACTCTTTTTGTCTAAAAAGTTGTGTAGAGAGGCAATATGATGTCTTTGAAATGATTCTACATAAAGGTAAATGAGAGTTATTTATCAACCTGGGAGCAGAACAGAGTTTGGTATTACTCTGATTTGTAGGCCATTTGGTAAATTGGGATTGGATCCTCTTTATATTAGCAATGAATGGTATTCAAAAAAGGATTGTTTATGTTTTGTACTTTTCAGGAAGCTTGGGTATTTCCAGGAGGGTAAGTTTATAAATAAATACCTGTCAGTACAGATCAACTTATTTAGTGTTCTTTAATTTAAACATAGTAGTGCCAGCAATTTTTCTGCTTTGAATATGCTTATTGAAAACAGAATTCATTTGTAGGCCTAATATCAAATTGAGTCCCATTAGGAAATTGGAAGAAGACATTTTTCCCAATCTTGCTTTTTGGGAAGAGCAAAGCTCCATCCTGGATATTTGGGGCTTTTTGAGCAATTGTTGTGAATCTATACACTTAAAAGTTTTTTGTAGGAAAATGTACAGTGTTGATTCCTCATGCAATACTTTTAAAGTAAGATGCAGAAAAAACAATTTTAAAGGGAAGAGAAATCAAGCCGTTAAAATATACAAAAGATAAATGAGATAGGGATTATTATCATTCCTCACACATGTTTTATTCTGGCTGCTTCTATTTAAAATTTCTCCACGGCTTCCATATCTATTAAATAGTAATGTTCCTGCAAAACACTAATAATTAGTGGTTATTGTGGTGATACCCATTCACTTGAGTGAATTAGACATAGTGCTACCCAAATCTGAGCTTCAAATAATTGATCAGGAGAAGTAAAAATAATGTTAAAATCCCAATTAAACATTTGCTTTTTTTCTTCTATTTCCTTGTCATCATCTAACATCCCTCCCCCACCTCCCTGCCAGAGTTGTGAGGCAGGTAGGGTGTGTGATTTAGAGTCATGAAGACCAGCATTCAAATTCCACCATAAATGTTTACTAGTTGTGTGACTGTGGGCAAATAACTTATTCTCTCTGTGCTTTTTCTTTCCTCTTTATCAAATGAGGAGGTTAGATTTGATAACTTCGAAAGTCCCTTCCAGATCTAATTATAAGATCCTATGATCCTACAGAATGATAATGTTCCCAGAAGCTGAAATTATAAACATATATGGAATGCCAGGTAGGCATGACATTGATTAGAGAAGAATGACAGACCACCTTTCTACCTTTCTATCATGAAATGCTCAGTGTTCTTATTTACCTAGTATTCTTGATTAGTTCTTACCTATTCCAGTGGTCTGCTCTTTAGGGCCAAGATAACCACCTATTGTGCTATGATTTCTAAATTGATTATGGATTCAGAAAGGCAACCACAGAGATCAGCCAGATTTGAGAACCATTATTGCCAATGTATTCTTATTACTCTATTAAAGAAAATACTTCTTTTATTTCCTCCATATGACTTAGAAAGGACCAGTACACATTATAACATCCTTGGTGCTTTATTTGAGCACTCCTGGGAACATAATTTGTCAAATTTGGGTATTCCAAATTTTAAATCAAACTCAAGTCATTCTGAAGATCCGTGGGGATCAATTGAATACAATTTGGTTATTCCAAAATGGATCTTTCAATTCTTACAAAGAAAGCACTTGATATTTCCTGACCATCAAGAAAATAAAAATATTTCTTTCAAAACATCAGTCTTCTGAGTGGATGCCAAAACAAATGAGAAAAGACCCAGATTAAGTATCCTCCCCTGTTTCCCATCCTGAAAAAAATGAATAAATAGAAAGAGGATATTGATCTGAATATTACAAGTCTTAATACATTCCAAAACCAAAAGGGTAGATTTTATTTTCCTCATTATTTGACTGATTTTCCCTACTTCCTCCCTGCCTCAGTCTGATAAGTTTGTGATAAGTGACTGAACCTCAGAAAAATATTCCCTCTGAGAAAATTTGGCACTATGGGTCAGAGTGAAACTCTCTTGATGAAACCCAAATAGATAATGCAGCAGAGCAATTTGAGTAGCAGAAGAAAAAAAAAATTCAGTTTTGATTGTTCTATGACGTGTCTTTGCAAGCAATCAAAAAATAACAATCAATCAATAGGTATTTTTTCTCTTAATTTTTTTTTAATTTTAGACAAATGCTAAAACTTAAATACATAAGAAAAGAAAAAGAAACATTATGAACTTAAATATAAAATAAGAATAAACCAAAAAATGTCATGTGCACAGCAGAATATAGGAGAGGATTCAAAATATATGACAATAACTTTTAATTTCAAGAAAGCCTATATGTTAAATACTGTGCATTATGTTGAAAGCTGTCCATCTTTTTCTTTACTTCCTTGTAGGTTGTCTTTTGTTCTCTGCCGTACACTTTTTACTTTGTTCTTCATCCCCCTCCCTCCCCACTACCCATCACCCCAAGGCTACAATTGAGCATTGGACATATTTATATATAGGTATTGATATATACATACACTTATACATATATACACGTATATATATACATATGTACATATATAAACGTATACTAAGAGATTCTACTCCTAATCTTTGTTTTTATGTTTGTTCAAATCTCTTTTTTTCCTATTTCTTTTAACTCCTCTACTTTACTTCTATCTGCTGCCTTACCCTTCTATGATTTAACCTACCCCTACTCCAGCGATCCCTCCCTTATCCTCCAGTTCCCCTATATCTACACCCCCTTCTATAGCCTCCTGTTAACCTATTCCCACACTCTCCCCTCTAGAGATCCCTCCTTTATCCTCTCCCCCCTCCTTATCCCCTTAGAATTTTCTTTCTTTCTAAATTTAGAAGTCTTTTATGCTCTTCTAAATGTATATGTATTTTCCCCTCTTAAACCCATTCCGGATCAGAGTAGGTTTCCAGAACTAATGCCCCCTCCTCCCCCACCTAATTCCTGGTATTGGTTCTTCCTCTTGTACCTCATTTGTTAGAGATAAATATTCTTTTAGCTGTATTTGAATGGTTTTACTTTTTGAAGTCATATCATAATCAGGTCTACCGGAAATCTTCCTTGTAAGTTACCTAATTACTAGTAACAATCAGATATAGGTTTTACATTTTTCATACATAAAAACTAACATTCTATTTTTATTTAGTCCCTAGTAATTGGACATTGGTATGTACCTTATGTTTGTCTTGGCTTTTGTATATTAAATCTTCTATTAAGTTCAAGGGGTTGGTTTGTTTTTAACAAAGAGCTGAGAGTCTGACAATTGATCAAATATCCATTTTTTTTTTCATTCAGAATTAGCTTAGCTTTGCTGGGTATATTTTCAGCTGAAAGCCCAGTTCTTTTGCTCTTCGATATATAGTGTTCCAAGACCTACTACCTTTTAGTGTCGCGGCTGCTAGGTGTTATGTGATTCTAACTGTGGTACTGCCGTATGTAAATTGTTTTTTTCTTGTTGCTTGTAATATTTTGTCCTGGATCTGGGGGTTTGGGGAATTTGACTATAATATTCCTGTGAATTTTCCTTGTAAGATTTCTTTCAGGTGGTGATTGGGAGATTTTTTTCTATTTCTACTTTCCCCTCTTGTTCTAATGCTTCAGGTCAATTTTCTTTAATTATTTCTTGTATTATTGTATCAAGAGTCTTTTTTTGATCAGAACTTTCAGGTAGTCCAATTATTCTTATGTTGTCTCTTTTTGATCTGTTCTATAAATCTGTTGTTTTTCTTATGAGATGTTTCACTTTCTCTTCTATTTTTTTCATTCTTCATTTTTTTTAATTTCTTCATTTCTTATAACTTCACTGACTTTGCCTAGCTCAATTCTGATTTTCAAGGAGTCATATTCTTCCTTAAAATTCTGGATCTCCTTTTCTAATTGGTTGATTTTCTTCTTGTTTTTCTTGCATTATTCTTATTTTTCTTTTTAGTTTTTCCTCAATCTCTGTCAGTTGATTTTTAAAGTCTTTTTTTTTAAGTTCTTCAATGAATTCTTTTGGGGCAGGTGACCATTTGGCATTGCTCTTTGGGGTAGAAGAGGGTTTCTTTTCTTCAGTATCCTCCTCTGAAGATAAATTCCAGTCTTCTTTATTCCCGTAATTGTTCTCTCTGGTTGGATGTTTTCTCCTTTGCTGTGCATTTTTTTGGGGGGGTAATAATTTAATTTTTTTTTTTAATCACCTCTAGTCCTGGGCCATGGAGTGGGGGGTGTGTCTACTCCTCTTAAGTTCTCCCTGACCTTGTACTCAAACCTGTTAGTGACTACTGCCAGCGGTGTCCCTGCCCCACTGCTTCTGCCCTCACCTGGCCTGTGCTGGTTCCTTCTCACCCCTCTGCTCTGCACAGCACAGCCGGGCCTGGCATTCTTTGTCAATGGAGTTTCTGTCAATCTTCCCAGCTCAGACACCCAACTCCCCTCACTGCCCTGGAGGTTAAAGTTCCTGTGACTGAGGCCAAGGTTCCC